ATACAAATTATATATATATGTATATACTGTGTGTGCGTGTGTGTGTGTATACATATATATATATATACTGTATATATTACCCACCTTGTTACACTTGTGCTGTTCCTGGTCAAAAATTTTTTTGTAATTCTCTCATTATGCTATATATTTTTTTTAAATCTTGGATCAATCTTTTTATGAACTTGTTTTCTTTCAATTAGCAAAGGTTTTGTACTGATTGTATACCTCATTGATCTGAGCACCTTTTGAGTGAACACTGCCAAAATTATCAACAAATACAGCCCTACAAACACAGGCCTACAACCAAACAGTACCAAACAGAACTGCATAATTTTAATAGCGTAATGAGAGAAGCAATTATAAAGGCCGACCATTTTTGACCCAGCAAATTAGGAAAATGACTTTCAGTATAGCACTTTAAAAGTGATTAGGTAACACTTTATTTTAAGGTGTCCTTACACATGTTACATGTGCTTACTATTTGTCAGGATCATGGACTGTCTGTGTCATGTTTTGCCCCTGTTTCTGTTCCCTTATTTGGTCATGTTCCTGTCCTCATTTGGTTAATTAATTTGATTAGTCATCCCATGCACCTGTGTTTCTCCAATCATCCCCTGTATTTAAGTCCCAGTCTGTCTCTGTCGGGTCTGCTCGTTGTGTACTTGTGTTTGCTCCAGCGCCCTTTGTGTGGATTTACCCTGTGTTCCTTGGATTAAAGACTTTTGATTGTATTCCTCGTTTCCCTCATACTCCTTCCGACAGCATACCGTGACAGAAGACCCGACCAAAGACAGTAACCTCCGTGTATTTCCCCTCCATTTGTTTTCCATTTTTCCTCTGTGCTTTCTTTTGTTCCCGCTGTTTCCATGGATCCCCTCCTTCGCCCCGAATTCCTCCTCCTCCTGCTGGAGCAGGGGGACAGATCTCTCGAGGACCATACAAGACTATTCCAGCTGCTAGCAAGCACCACCAGCTACCCGGACGACGCGCTCATTCTATGACGCGAGCTTGAACACCGCGAGAGTGCCGTCGTTCGAGGATGGTCCTCGAGAGGATTTCGTTGCCTTCGTGGAGTGGACTCTGGCGAGAAATGGATCACCATCCTACCCCGTGGATGATCTCGTCAGATCCACTCCAGACCCAGAGCCCAGCCCACCATCTCCCCGCGAAGCGGAGCATCAGCCCGAGCCCACCGTTGATGGAGAGCCATTTCCCACCGCGATCAGTGAGCCAGCGTAAAGCCGAGCGACTGAGCAAAGGTTCGCCCCGGATGTAGAGCTGTGTCTGTCAGACCAGGTGCGATAGCCGGCGACAATGCCCGCCACGAGGGAGAAAGCCGCGGACGGTGTGAGCGCGGAGAGGAGCTCCCCCCCTGCACCATGGCTGAGGGTGAGCTGAGTATGGTGCGGTGAAAGTGCCAAACCGAAGAGGAGAGTCCCCGAATCCAGGCGTTTGCATTGGACTAAAACTTACTGACTTTGCTCACACAGGGTATAACAAACAAAAATAATAATACAAATTATATATATATGTATATACTGTGTGTGCGTGTGTGTGTGTATACATATATATATATATACTGTATATATTACCCACCTTGTTACACTTGTGCTGTTCCTGGTCAAAAATTTTTTTGTAATTCTCTCATTATGCTATATATTTTTTTTAAATCTTGGATCAATCTTTTTATGAACTTGTTTTCTTTCAATTAGCAAAGGTTTTGTACTGATTGTATACCTCATTGATCTGAGCACCTTTTGAGTGAACACTGCCAAAATTATCAACAAATACAGCCCTACAAACACAGGCCTACAACCAAACAGTACCAAACAGAACTGCATAATTTTAATAGCGTAATGAGAGAAGCAATTATAAAGGCCGACCATTTTTGACCCAGCAAATTAGGAAAATGACTTTCAGTATAGCACTTTAAAAGTGATTAGGTAACACTTTATTTTAAGGTGTCCTTACACATGTTACATGTGCTTACTATTTGTCAGGATCATGGACTGTCTGTGTCATGTTTTGCCCCTGTTTCTGTTCCCTTATTTGGTCATGTTCCTGTCCTCATTTGGTTAATTAATTTGATTAGTCATCCCATGCACCTGTGTTTCTCCAATCATCCCCTGTATTTAAGTCCCAGTCTGTCTCTGTCGGGTCTGCTCGTTGTGTACTTGTGTTTGCTCCAGCGCCCTTTGTGTGGATTTACCCTGTGTTCCTTGGATTAAAGACTTTTGATTGTATTCCTCGTTTCCCTCATACTCCTTCCGACAGCATACCGTGACAGAAGACCCGACCAAAGACAGTAACCTCCGTGTATTTCCCCTCCATTTGTTTTCCATTTTTCCTCTGTGCTTTCTTTTGTTCCCGCTGTTTCCATGGATCCCCTCCTTCGCCCCGAATTCCTCCTCCTCCTGCTGGAGCAGGGGGACAGATCTCTCGAGGACCATACAAGACTATTCCAGCTGCTAGCAAGCACCACCAGCTACCCGGACGACGCGCTCATTCTATGACGCGAGCTTGAACACCGCGAGAGTGCCGTCGTTCGAGGATGGTCCTCGAGAGGATTTCGTTGCCTTCGTGGAGTGGACTCTGGCGAGAAATGGATCACCATCCTACCCCGTGGATGATCTCGTCAGATCCACTCCAGACCCAGAGCCCAGCCCACCATCTCCCCGCGAAGCGGAGCATCAGCCCGAGCCCACCGTTGATGGAGAGCCATTTCCCACCGCGATCAGTGAGCCAGCGTAAAGCCGAGCGACTGAGCAAAGGTTCGCCCCGGATGTAGAGCTGTGTCTGTCAGACCAGGTGCGATAGCCGGCGACAATGCCCGCCACGAGGGAGAAAGCCGCGGACGGTGTGAGCGCGGAGAGGAGCTCCCCCCCTGCACCATGGCTGAGGGTGAGCTGAGTATGGTGCGGTGAAAGTGCCAAACCGAAGAGGAGAGTCCCCGAATCCAGTCCAGAGCGTGCTCCAGTGCCTGCTCCTAGAAAGAACCCTCCAGTGTCCGCTCCTCCTGAGCTCCATCCTGTTTCCGTGTTCAGTCAAGAGGGGGCTTCCGATCCAGAGTTAGTCCCTGAATGCCCAGAGGCTCACAAATGCCCGCCCTCCCACCCGCTCCTGCCTCCTCCACCGCTGTCGTCTGGAAACCCCTCTGCTCGCCCTCAGCCCACCATCATTACGGTGCGAGCTCCGTGGGTCTGCCATCCTCCAGCGTAGCCATGGCTGGAGAATCCCTCACCTCCGCCTCCAGCCTCTGAGGCCCGGACTCCGCCTTGGCCCATAGACCCAGCGTCTCCACCTCAGTTCCTAGCTCCCTCGCCTCCACCATCACCCACTCTCGTTTTGTTATTTAGTTTGATTAGTCATCCCATGCACCTGTGTTTCCCCAATCATCCCCTGCATTTAAGTCCCAGTCTGTGCAGTCTGTCTCTGTCGGGTTTACTCGTTGTGTACGTGTGTTTGCTCCAGCGCACTTTGTGTGGATTTACCCTGTGTTCCTTGGATTAAAGACTTTTGACTGTACTCCTCGTTTCCCTCGTACTCCTTCCGACAGCGTACCATGACACTATTATAATAACAATAAATTATGCATAATTAGTCAAACCAAAAATTATTCAGACACCAGATATAATTTTTGACCTTCTTTTACTAGTGGGTGCAGGACACTATAGTTCATAAATGTAAGCGAGGATAGCAAAATAAAGTGAACTGTGACAAATTATACCCAGAAATTCTTCATACAGTGGACTAGCAGTAAAATTTGGGATCAAAAACTATTCAGAATTATTCAGACCTAACCAAGTTTTGCTTAAGTGTTTTTCCTTTAATTGCTAATGCGACCTTTTTACACCACAGTCTGAACAAAATTAATTGGTAATTGGTTGACCTAAATTGGTATTATTTAATTGTGCACTTAAATTTAACAGCTGAATATTTTTTGGTTGATTATAATCCCTTACATACCTTTCTATCAAAGTTATCTGACATTATAAAGATGAATTTGGGTTACTATACATTTAAGTACCGAGTAATATTTATGAACTACATGTACAGTATACTTAGTATATGGTTAGGGTTAGTCTTAGGGTTACTTGCATGTAATTATGCATCATTTATTGTTATTATAATAGTAAATACATGTAACTTGTAACAAGGACACCTTAAACTAGTACTACCTGAATTTGTTTAACTTAAGTTCTTGTCATATTTTATTACCATTTTCTAAACTATAGCGAATAAAATGTGATATAATGTGAGAAATGTTGAAGGTGTCTGAACATTTTTTGGTTCGACTGTACATGCAAGTAACCCTAAGACAAACCCTAACCATATAGTAAGTACATGTAGTTAATTAATATTACTCGGTACTTAATTGTATAATTACACTGGAACAAGGACACCTTAAAATAAAGTGTAACCAGTGATTCGTTTGGAAATTTGGTGCCTCTTATGGCACAGAATTTAAACACTTTTTCATCTTCACATCTTTATAACCTACATTTTGTAGTTTTTAGTTACATTTAATTAGTTTTGAGGTCATCTAAATACTAGTTATCTCCTTAAAATTGACCAAATAATCTTGTAACAGATTTAAAACAATTCTTGGGAAGACGGACTAAAATGATTGATGACTTATCCTGCTCTCAGGGGCGTGTTCAACTTTTCGTCCAATCAAATGCTTTCTGGAATGAAAAAGCCCCTCCCCCTAATGCCACCTGTTTCGCTTTAAGGGTTGTAATTTAAAGTAGCTACTGTCTAAATTCAATAGGAATTACACAGCGAAGAAACCTCTCATTTGGTATTTTAACTGTAATATGTTGAATATGTTTTCTCACGATAAACACATTGCGAAAACTTTATTTTGCGACCTTAAAGTAAATGTTAATGACTATGATCGGCTACCTGAAGGTCGCTATGATGACTAAACCCCATCGTGTCACCTTCCACGTTCCACATTCACACACAGGACTAAACATGCTGCATGAAGATCACCTGATGTCTTCTTCTCTTGACTTGGTTTATTCAGTCGTCCCTTTCATTTCCCCCCCGCAATGGAAACAGCTCATCCAGCATCATCAGGAGCTGCTCTTTGATCTGGAGCTGGCGTGTGCGCATGCGCAGCTCATTGCCTTCGCTGCACTGGCTTCAGTAAGTTGGATGCGCGCTGTCTTCATCATCACATCCGAAACTGTTGCGATGGAGAGTATCGGAAAAACCCCACACATCTTCCTATTATGTCCGCTGATCGTGGCCGTGGCGTGCGCGCAAAGGTAGGGTTGCGTTTTGTGGCGTTTCAGAAAAGAAAATGATGTGTTTTGGGGATGTAAGAGGATGTAAGAGAACATCTCGTGATATTATTGCAGTATCAGAGACCCGAGCAATATGCCGGTGGTCAAAGACACCGTGGACAGACTCATGAAAGGATACGACATTCGGCTGAGGCCAGATTTCGGAGGTAGGCTAATGCATGAGTAAAATTCGTATAATTGTTGCATTTGGATTGTCACGCGCACTAACATGCCCAATTACTCATGCAAACCTTGTTCATTCATCTCAGTCTCTGATCAGGCGTGCCTGTCAATGCATGAGAAAAATGAACGCACGCTTATTTACCGCTATTTCATCTTTTCCCAGAGAGGGACGCTAACTTGGGGATCAATTCAATTTGCAGCGCAACTTTTGTTGCATCATGACAGCAAACGAAATGGCATGCTTTAAAATCTCCTTTGATGCACGCATACGAGTCCATCATAGAAGATGCTCAAGCTGTTATTGATAGAAGGACGCGTCTAACTGTGCATTTGTCAGTCATGCAGTTGCGTTTGTGCGTCCAGTGCTTGTAACAAATCAACAATTTCATGCGCAATGCCACGTGAATTTTGGGTGTTGGTGTTTCATACACATATAATGCATGCGGTTTCATATACAGAATGCTATTTAGTGTCATTTGGCACCTGCACGTAAAAGTGTGGGTACATGCATGCATGCATACAATTTCCCTTTTAATAATTTTTCCTTTCTCTCCATCAGGCGCTCCGGTGGCGGTAGGGATGAATATAGACATAGCCAGCATAGACATGGTATCCGAAGTAAACATGGTATGTTGCATGTAACAGTATTCCATTATGTGTCAAAATGCAATGCGTTATGCACACTAACTTGAGGCGCACCAGCTGATGTGACTCACACACACACACACACACACACACACACACACACACACACACACACACACACACACACACACATGATGATTAGACGTGAAGCCGCAGAAGTTCATTGGCATGCTGCGGTATCTGCTCTGCATTTCGCTGCTGACATTTGAATTCAAAACACACGCGCACTGGCGCACTCGCACGCGCACCCGCACACGCTCCGCTTGTCTCACGCTGTGTTTTATGTGCCACCGAGAAACGAGCACGTTCGTGGACGCACCTTTCCACCCTGTGAATTGGGTTTAATCGCAAATCTAGTTCAAGGTGAGCGTTGCCCTCTCAAGGAGAAAGACGGCGCGTGCCGCGTACGCTGACAGAATCACGCATTTCTTTGTCAACAGAGAGGGGGTTTTGGGAGATGCACGACTATAAACAGCATCTATCGACGTTTTTATAGATGCATCTTCTTTTTAAAAATGCTCAGATGATAAACTGTGATGCAAAGCAACATACTGTTGATGGGCACCGCTAAAAAGTTCATCTCGCGTGAGCGCACCCTCTGTCGGACGCGGCGCGCGGCGCAGCTGTAATTGCTGGAGAATATGTATGGCTGTGAAATTAAAGATTTATGGCTCGTACTCATTGCAGCTTTATCATTTCAGTGGGGGTGATGGAGTTTGTTTTCAATTCATTTCCCAGTCGCTCCTTTTAACTCGATGAAGGTGAAGTGGCCTGTGCCAGGAGCTCTGCGTTTTCTTCAGCGATCTGTGTGGAAAAACAAAAGCATGCCTCGTTTGCAGATTGAGTTCACACGTATATTTATAGCGCTGTAGGTGGTGCATGCACACAAATGGTCAGATCTATAATGGAAGCGATGTTGTTTCATTATAGTTCATTAAACCATTAATTGTGAGAATGATCTTACCTGTTTATCCTGGATTTGGTGCTTGAACCAGGGCTTCGGAAAAATCATTTGAATATGACAGCCAAGGTCAGAATACCCCATGGACATGGAATTGTAATTTAAATGAATAAAATCCTAAAATATAATGGGAATTTCTGACAGTGAACATAAATTGTTGTAGTTATCCTCAAATTTAAAATATTTCTTAAGCTACAATTTGCTCGTTTTAGGGCAAATGTTTATATATATATATATTTTTATGTTTATGCATCATATTCCATGAATAAGGTCAACTTTCCCCCTTATATATATATGTATATGTGTGTGTGTGTGTGTGTGTATTTCAATCAGATTTCAATCAAATTTTAAATACATTAAATATCTATTTCTCCCTCTTTAAATGTGATTTGGGCCTGTCCCATCCTAGAAACCTTTTCAACTTTATTCAATGATTAAAATCATACATAAACAACATTTGGATTATTCATATCTTGACCTTCAACCTTGTCAACAACGTTATTTTATTACAGAATGACAAAACAAATAATTTTCCTACATTTCTGACAATAAAAGTCGATCAAGAACTATTTGGTCCCAAACTACAATTAATAGATTATTTAGGCTAATTCTTCAATGCCATTACATCCAACTCATTTAAAAAATATATTTTATTTCAAATTTTTGTTTAGTTATCCGCAAACCTCATTTAAAATTAATGACAAAATAAAACAGCTCTTTTAAATTTTCTTTTGACCTCGTAAGGTTGAAGATCATCACTCATTCTGAACGCTGAGCACCTTTTTTGACTTTTCATTTACTAATCACGAACGGCCGAGAAAACCACGGATATTCAATGCTCAAAACAATGCCGTTTCCAGGCGGACGGACGTCCGGACAGATGCTTCATACTGTGCAGTGATGTGCTTACAAATTACCTTTATAGATCTGTCAGGTTTGTTGCTTGTCACGCTTGAGCTCTGGAATCCCGAGGAGTCGGGGAGAAAAGATGAAAATCTTTGTTTTCTGCAGCTCCAGCAAAATTGGATTTTGGCCGAGCTCGCAGCCGACAGGATCCTCCACTATCCTCCACTATCCTGAGGGTTGACAGGCTTGATCTGGGAGATTAGCAGCCATTAGTATCTGATATTTCCATTCAAAGCCAGCATGCATCACGCCTCATTCTCTCTCATGCTCGCCTCTTTGGCGCCTCGTACCAGTTTACTGTCTCATTAGTCCAGCGTGATGCCTGCGTCTCAGACAGATGTACGATCTCTCAATTAGGAGCGGCACTGATGCCCCAGGTGTCTTTGCGAGGCGTAACCGCTTCCAGCGTTGTGTTTTAAGCAGCCCTCTCCTCTTCATCTCCTCCTCCCTGCCATTTCACACGCATGTAAACAAGAGCGTTCGCTGCGGTTGAAACGTGGCCAAAGAAGCCTCCACCAAAGGTCACCCGTGTTGTTTGGCAATGCAAATCTTTAGGCCAGTTGCGTTTTCGTTGTTTCACATTAAAATGCGGGCTATTTTTGGAGAAGAGGCAAACGCAGGCCATGCTCTCTGGCTCAGGCGCTTTCTGATGACTCATATGTGACCCCGGAGCACAAAAGCAGTGTTAAGTCGCTGGGGGATATTTGTAGCAATAGCCAACAATACATTGTATGGGTCAAAATTATCCATTTTTCTTTTATGCCAAAAATCATTAGGATATTAAGTAAAGATCATGTTCCATGAAGATATTTTGTAAATTTCCTATCGTAAATATATCAAAACTTAATTTTTGATTAGTAATATGCATTGCTAAGAACTTCATTTGGACAACTTTAAAGATGATTTTCTCAATATTTAGATTTTTTTGCACCCTCAGATTCCAGATTTTCAAATAGTTGTATCTCAGCCAAATATTGATCAAACCATACATCAATGGAAAACCCATTTATTCAGCTTTCAGATGATGTATAAATCTCAATTTCATAAAATTGACCCTTATGGCTGGTTTTGTGGTCCAGTGTCACAAGTGTAACATGAACGGTATAATACCATATTCTGATTGATCTGTGTGTGACCCGTGCATCTCTGCATAAATTCCGCTCGAGATGCCCTTTGTTTGCGGCCGGGACGGAGGTTTTTCTCTGAAAACATAATAGTCACTTCAAAGGAAAAGATGGGAGCAGACTTGTGTTAGCTCATGGGCTAAATAATTACCAGGGCGGAAACATTGCCCTTATATGTATCATTATCTTGACAAGCATTAATTGCTTACATGAATTAGAGGCAGGGCCGTGCAATGATAGCCTGTGAAATAACAAACGGATGAAAAGACAAATTTAGACTCAATTAGATCGCTCGACTTAATTAGTACTAGTGTGTGTAATTGTTGATCATTTCTGGCTATAGTCAGTTAGTGTCTGTTTAGTCCAGTTTTATTCAATTCCGAGCTGATAAACAGTGTGTTATTTAGTGTTATTTTTACTCTTTGCTGCTATGACAACACCACCCTTCTCTAAAACTGCGGGGTTAATGTGGGCTCTTCTCTGTTTCGATGTTTAAGGCAAGGCTGCAGATTTGTGTTTTGATGGATTCTCTCGTACGTAACGTCGTGCCGTGTGCTTACATGTATGATTTAGCTACAGCCAGAAATAGAGGAGCATGGGTGTAGTCACATGATGTTCTCCCAGACAGCAGCAGATTGTGTTATAATTCCATACACTGATGAGATCTGCAGCACATCTCACTCTACTGAGAAGCTTATTATAGTTCTTGCAAGGCTTTTTTTCTTCTCCGCTAATTTCTGCTGTTCATTCAGCACGACCCGTTAATGTACGTGTAGCACGACTGCGTTTAGACTTTGTCTGAGACATTTAAGATTAAAGTTGACATATTTAGAGAATGCAGCTGCTGTGATGATTGTTGTAGTTGCTTACTGAATTGCAGTTGGTCTTTTTTTACATTCATTTGCATACTGAATTGTGATTGGTCTGATGTTGCTTGCATTTATTCAACTGCTTACCTGAAGCCTTTAGGCTAATATTTTGCTGTGTTGTGTCTCTGGTATATATATGTGTGTGTTTGCATAATGACTAATAACATTTATAATTTAAGGGTTTTTTTATGCCAAGGACCCCCACATAGGATGCTCCTCTTTTTTTAAAGATGGGTATGTGTGCTATTATGCAACTGGCATTTATGTTGTAATTTTTCTAAAGCCAAAAGAAATGGTTAAATATAATTTGGACTCAAAATAATCGTTAATAATTACATTTAATTTGCGTAGCACCATGCAATATACATTTGTCAAATGTTTTGGTGTACTTTCTTTCCCTCCATCCATCCTCAAACCTAGTTAGAAACACTAGTTGCTGGGTAGATTACTTGCAAATTTTAGTCCGTTACTGATTAAAAAATACATGACGAAAATTGTAGTTAGTAATGTAATCTGTTAGATTATTCATATTAGGTCATGTATTCCAACTACTTTTAGATTACTTTTGACTTAACTCGTTTATCCTATAGATTTGAATTGGATTGTTGTGTACCATTTCGATATTAAAAAAAAGACAAACAAAGAGAGAGAAAATATATTCCATTGCAAGAAGCATGAAGTGCATTAAACATATTACATCAGGGTTTCCCAGACTGGTATAGAGACAACAGACAAATTAGGGAGAATCAATCCATTATTAATAATTTATGGGCATTGTGTGAATAATATGTAATCATGTAATCCATAAAAAGTAACTGTAATCACGAGTATTTTAAAATGTACTATACTCTAATTACAAGTACTTAATTTTTGTAATCTGATTACGTAATCCAGTTATTACCCAGCACTAAGAAACACCAGGTATAAATGACTATTGTCCATGGCTACTCATTGCGTACATAGCTGTGATAGTTTCATGTGTCTCTGTAGAGAATATTACCTCGTTTAGTATATGCGGAGCCATGAATATGCTAATTAGTCCCCGCCTCCACTCAGTTGCACCTGCTCAGAGTCAGACTGCTCCACTTTCACCCGGTTAAAGCGATAGTTTATCCAGAAATT